CACCTTGTATGCAAGTTAATTTTAACCGCAAATCGGCTTACTAATATTAATATGCATAATCGAGCCGTATTTAGTATGGTCTACATGACTGTTTTTATTGTTGTTGTCATTAAGATGCATATTAAAAGCATATTCTGTTAAAGATCTGGCCTATCTAACTCCCGAAATGTGCTTTTGCTATTGTATTTCGTGATTTTTCCAAACATTTTCTCGGACTAGTGCTTAAATTGAGGACCCAAGAAGACTTGGAAGTGTCAGTAGTTATGTGAGAAGATTGCGCATCGGTATACTAATGAAGGAGTAACAAGAAAGTGTATACTATATTTCTCATATGGTTGATATGTTGAATAGTGAATCAAATTCGACAAGTTACCGTTTGCGATGGAAATTTTTAAAAAACTGTATGCCTGAATGAGTGAGTTTGAATTCGATTTGAGAGTGATTCGTTAGTTGCGTCCCAACGCTGATAACTCACTTTCAAATTCCGGTTCAAGTGAAGGTAGTAGCCAAGGGATCTAAAAAGATTTCATGCAGTAGGGGTCCAAATTAAATCTTTTCGACAGCTCTCAGTCTCAGCTAAGACTTCGAATAAGAGTAGCACAATAGAAAATGTGTTAATCATTTTTATAAATAAGCCTCTAACTGGGATGAGGCTATGAATAAAGGATAACGGTTTCACTATCTTATTGCAATTGAAGTGACTTCAAGTCATTGCTTTTGAGAATAACGGGAGTCTGAGAAGACTGTACTGAAAAAAACTCTGTTGTTTCACGCATTTATCAAGAGAAAGTGACAAAACCCTCATTTCTTAATGCCATATAACTGCTGCATTGTGTATAGAAAAGGAATAATTGAACAAATAATTTATATTCTAACCAAATCGGCTCCAAAGTTATGTGCAACTTTATGCACACTTCCTATGAATATATCACTTACTCAGCATAGTTTACCTCGCCACGGCTGATATCCTCATCGTTCATAGGCATAAAAATAGTATAAGCCTCGTTTGAAGACTCATTGACTATATCATGTACTCCGCTTGTGAGCAGAAGAGCCTCACTGCTATTAGTGTATCCAGTCGAGCTCAGATGCATAGTGATCGACATCCATGTAGGCTCGACTTGGTCACAGTTGTCTGTGTCGCCCATTTCTGCGCGAGTGTAGCCGGGGCAGCAATCGTATATGTAGTCCTCAGGCCTAAATAATACAGGTTAATAAAGAAAACAACATAAATCGGGCATGTGTGAGCTTAACTTTCCTTTTCTTAACATTGGACCTTTCTGACTCGATCTCCAAAAGCCTGTTTAGATCTCGGGAAAACCCAGAAGGCTACCATAACGGAAACTATTCAGCCTTCTCCATTACGTGAATATGAAACTGATATACAAAATGCAAGAGAGGTTGTATCAGAATTTTATCGGAAGTAAGCCCAGTACAGATATGTTCCATCCGTATATTTTTACCGTTTTAATTAAGCATTCAAAAGTTATTTGTTTATTTACTCAATTTATTCTATAGTCCGTACGATCCAACCCTACTTATTTAAGTAGTGCAATCTTTTTCACTATTTAGTTTTAAGTAAACTCACCTTCAGAAAGTTCAACCTCTGCATAAGTCTTAAGCTACTCAAAAGTGCCAACGTTTTCTAACTGGTGAAATAATTCTTCTTTTGGTGAGTC